CGATTGTGCTCGACCGGTACCGGCTCGGCCCCATCCTCGGACGAGGCAGCTTCGCCAAGGTCTACCTCGGCCGCCCCCTCGACGGCGGCGCTGACGTCGCCGTCAAGGTCATCGACAAGCGATCCGCCGCCGCCGCCTCCATGGAGCCCCACATCCTCCGCGAGGTCTCCGCCATGCGCCGCCTCCGCAGCCACCCGCACATCCTCGAGCTCCACGAGGTCCTCGCTACCAGATCCCGGATCTACCTCGTCATGGAGCTTGCCCCCGGCGGCGAGCTCCTCGCAAGGGTTCGCCGACACCGCCGGCTCCCGGAGCCCGCCGCCCGCCGATACTTCCATCAGGTCGTCTCCGCCCTCCGCTTCTGCCACAGGAACGGAGTCTTCCACCGGGACATCAAGCCCCAGAACCTCCTACTTGACCGGAACGGGCTCCTCAAGATCACCGATTTCGGGCTCTCTGCACTCTTTGACCAGAAGCGGGCCTGCGGAGACCTGATCCACACTGCCTGCGGCACGCCGGCGTACACGGCGCCGGAAGTCGTCCGCCGGAGCGGTTACGACGGCGGGAAGGCCGATGCCTGGTCGTGTGGGGTCCTCCTCTACGTTTTCCTGGTTGGCAGCCTCCCCTTTGACGATGGCAATTTATCAAACATGTATCGGGCCATGAACCAACGGGCCTTTGATTTGCCAGATTGGCTGTCGAGGCCGGCGAAGATGGTGATATACAAGCTCTTGGACCCGAACCCAAACACAAGAATGGGCCTAGACGAGTTAATCGGGCTCTCCTGGTTCAAGAAATCCTACTCGGAGAATAATCTGGCGGCACGGGACGTCAGGCCGGGCTTTTTAGATGGGAGTGAGTTCAAGCATTCCCCTAATTTAAATGCCTTTGACATAATATCCATGTCCTCTGGTTTAAATTTGTCCGGGCTTTTCGAGAAGGAGACTGTTCATACGGATATGAGGTTTTTAGCCTGTGGTGTGGATGTGGCAGAGATTGAGAAGAAGGTGGCTGGTGCTGGGGCTGCATTGGGGTTCAAAATCGAATTAGGGAAAGTTGGGGGGTTGATAAGGATGGTAAAGGGAGGGGTAGTTTTGGTAATTCAGGTTCGGCACGTTGGGGCAGTCGGGCTGTGGTTACTGGAGCTGAATCTTGTTGATGGCGCGGTGGCCGATTTGGAGGATTTGCAGTGGGAGGAGTTGAAAACAGGGCTTGGTGGTGGTGTCTCAATGAACAAAGAGGTCTAATGATTTTAGTTGGAAAATTAGAAAGAAAAATGTGACAAAGGGGAAGAATTTTGATACGATGGATCATTTTATCATGTGATCTTGAGGCTGATTCTTGATTGAACTTCAATGGATGGCATTCTTGATGTCTATGGGGCTCACAATTCAATGGATTTAATGATGTTTGGTACAGAAGTCAGGATTGTGTTGTCTATAGGATTTCTAAGGGGATGAAATTAGTCATTTACTTCTGTAAAGTGCACCACTAGTGGCTTTTGTAAAATGGGTTGTGCCTTCAATTGACTGATTTTGGTTTCATGTAAAATGCATATCTTGCTTTGATATTGTTTAAGAGCTGTAAAGGGAGCATATGATTAAATTTTGGTATGGAGTAGTTGGGTCAATCTCAAAAGCATTAGAAAAGTGGGAAGAAACAAGTAAAAAACTGAACTTTATAAGCTCTTAAGCATTTTGGTAATATATGTTTGCAACATATTATACTAAGTAGCTCAAAGTATCTCCAATGTGACTTTAATATTATAAAAAATTATTCATATCATCAACTTTTAAGTGTGCTACTAATTCATTCTTCAATGTATCTTGTCATGAGCTATTTTATGATGAAGTGGGTGATATTTAATGTTGTGTTGAGCTAATTTTATAATATCTAACACCATGTTAAAAATGATGACTCATCACTTCATTTTATATTTGGTTTACTTTTGTATCATTCTAGTATCAATGAATGATTTTAATTGATTAATGAACACCTCTCTGTGCCGAAAAAAAAGGGGGAAAATCCCAACCTAGCCCACCGCGACGAAAGTCGCCGATTTACCTCCCTTGGCACCGGCGGGGCTCGACCAGGGGTTGCCCCTAACCGCTCCTCCCGCTCTGGACCTTCGGCGACGGAAATTGTTGCAGCTTGGTGAGATATGGCTCTCAGTCGATGGCGGGTTAGCGTGTGGAGGTGCAGTCTTCATGGTGGGATTCCGGTCGATTTTGGGTGGCCCTACTTCCCGGTCGCTAGCGGACCTTCGATGGTGGATGGTAAGCCCTCTATTTCACTATCTCTGGCTTCGATT